AATAAATAAATAAATAAATAAATAAATAAATAAATAAATAAATAAATAAATAAATAAATAAATAAAAAATAAATAAATATCTTAAAAAAAAAACAAAGCTACAACAGTTGTAATACCTGCATGCCAAAGAATGAAGTTAGATCTCTTGCATTCACCTTACTTCTGTGTTAGCTTACAGTGGATCATAGATCTAAATGTAGGAGCTAAAACTAAAACTCTTAGAAGAAAAGATAGAAGTGTATCCTTGTGATGTTGCGTTAGGCAGTGGTTTCTTAGATAGGACCCCAAAGGCACAAGTGACAAAAGAAAAAAATATATACAACTTGAATCTCATCAAAATTAAAACTCAGAAAGAAGATAATTTAAGACATTTCGGGGTTCCACCCACCCCTAGAGACAACTACTATTCACATTTTTGTGTACCCTTCATTAATATTTTGTGTTTGTTATGTGATCGTACAATATTACATATTTTGTTCTATAACATGCATGTTTTACAGGGTCAAAAGATGTATCATTTTAATGGCTGCATAATATGCATATATTCAGATTCATTTAATGATTTCCCAATTTTATATTTCATTTATTTTGTAATGTTTTGATTTTATAATGTAATTACGAACACTATGGATAGCCTTTAGTATATGCCTTTTTACAATTCTTGTTAGCACCTTAGGATGATTTCCCACAAGTACCATTTCTTTATGAGGATTTAGGATTTTGATTCACATGAAAGGCTTACTTTTACTTTTTAAAATTTTATTATGAAACAAATATATTCAAAATAGGAGAAAATATTATAATAGACCTCCACTTACCCATCCCTGGGCTCCCTTGTTTCTAAAGTGTAGATATAATTTGACCTCTGGGAGGAATATATTCAAACAATGTGTGCCTGTCTCTTTAAACAGAGAGTTTTCCCCTTGATACATTTACTTAGAACCTATTAAATGCTGGTTCCTGTGTTGGTCTTTATACAACCTGTATTCTTTTTTATTTCTTACATCTACCTTAAGGGTTATTTTGATTTTTTAGGTGAAGAAGCTAAGGATTGGATAAACTAAGATGCACATATAAAATTAGGTTTTAGAATCTGGGTTCCATCCAGGGTGACCAGTTTGCCCAGGGTGGTCCCAGTTTGAGCACTGAAAGTCCTGTATCCTGGGGAACTCCTGGTGCCCTGCAGCCCGCTCACAGTCTAAGCCCTTCCCCAGCAGCATGGCTCATGCTGTGACATCCCATTTCCAACTGATGAATCTTGAAGACAGGGAAGAGTTGTTTATTCCCGTCAGAACATGGGTTATTCTTGGTTTTGGTGTTTATGTCTGCACAATGTTGGATGTTTTATTTTTCAGATCTCTTCACGTGCTTGTGTGCAATGCAGCGGCTTTTGCACTTCCCTGGAGCCTCACCAAAGATGGCCTGGAGACCACCTTCCAGGTGAATCACCTGGGGCACTTCTACCTTGTCCAGCTCCTTCAGGATGTCCTGTGCCGCTCAGCTCCTGCCCGAGTAGTTGTGGTCTCGTCCGAGTCCCATAGGTGGGTTAGCATCTGATGTTTTTTTCCATTTGGCCCCTTCCTTGTGTCAGCCAGTGTCTTCCCGAGGCTCCCTTTCCCAAAAATACTTTTCAGTGATGCTGCTCTGGAAAGTGTGGGTGCACTCAATCTGGCTTCCTTCATTTTCCGAGGTCTTTCTCTTGTTTTGAGATTGTGGAGGATTATTTGGGGGTTTTGTCTACAGCAATGTAGATGGTTTTTACAACTATACTTCAAGCTCCTCATTGATTTTGCTTCGAGATGGAATAATAATTGATTAAATCTGAATGCCTGACCTTTATCGATTTGTCATTCAACAACTTCAACACCTCACCACGAAGAATGTGCAGTTATTCTAGCAGGAGAAACAATGCAATTAAAGACTGCGAGATGAAATCCAATTGTTTTATAATGAGAAATTAGGGAATTCAATGCAGACATTAGCTGAGTAATTGTAGAAAGGGAAAGTACTGCAGTTAGAACATATTAGAAATCTGGCCATGCCTCTTTTGGTTAAAATTTCAATTAAAACATCAGATGGCACTTCTCTTCTATTACCATTAGGAGAATATCCAATTGACTGAAAAGGCATTTGAAAATTTCATCGTATTTTTAGCATATTTGTTTCTGGAGTTGGATAAACAACTATTTGTCTAAAGAGAAGTAGTCGGAGAAGACAAAGGACTTCCCGGGTGAGGCTAGATTTAATGCATGTTAGGGAGATTTTCCTGGTGTGGTTGGGAGCTTTCACTCTTTACAAAGTAGCTGGAAAAAAATAATGTGCAAGGGTCTGTTTTTTTCCCCTTCTTCTCCGTCTTAAGTCCTGAAATGTTTTAGTGACCCAGAATGAAGCTTATTTTTTTAATCATGCTTCCATAAAATGTAACCCCTGGGACTTGGAAGAGAGAGACCAGCCAAGGGTTAGCCTGAACCCTTTATCACTCCCAAACACAGGGGCTTATGGTATAAGTGACACATTGCAGATAGATTTACTTTTACCATTTTAAATTTATGATGGCTGAAATGAAAGGAAATGCCCGTAATAATCCTCCCCCGTGTTAAAAGACATGAAACATCTAGTAATTAGGTGGTAACAAAATCTGGACATCCTTATCTTTGCAAATCACACCAGGTTTGTGTGGGGGAAAAAAAAAAAGTGGAGTGGTCCTGCTCAGGAGTGAGGGAGGCTACTGTGGGGGCCGGCACAGGAGAGCAAGCTCCGGAAATAAATCTGCCAGCCGCGATCGTTTGCCAGATGTGGAGGGCACCACGGGATATGTTTAAATGAGTTGGTATTTAATGGGAGATTATGTTGAATTGTCAGCTGCTTGCTTCCCTTTGTAAATCTGTATCTCAGATGGTATTTCATGTGACGTCTTTGTTCTCTTCTTAACTGCCGCATAATTTGAGCCTACCTTGGAGATCTGAATCTTAATTTCATGGAACAGACGAATTGGAAGGAAGGGCCTTGGTCTCCTGAATTAGACCCATCCTGAAATGTCTTATCAGGCCCACTCCTGTCTGCTGATTGGCACTGGTTTTTCTGGTCATCCTTGGCACCTGTTAGGGGTTATTTTTACAAAATGCTAATTCCCCCAAGGTTTGTTTATGACCCTTGTGTTGCCCTCCTGTGGTGCCCCAAACAGTGTGAGTACTGGGTGCACAGTCCTGGGAAAACACTTGCTCACTGTTCAAGGACCCAGGGCCCTAAACCATGTTGTAAAAGGGAAGTGTTGATATCTAATTACCTCCATAAACCTTGGCGGAGTCTTTTCGCTGGAGTCAAGACCCCCTGTTAGGGGAAAAATAAAGTCCTATGTTTGCAGAAAAATATTATACCAGACTGCCTCCAGGCAAAATATTTATTAGCCTCCCCGTGTCTTCATTGTATTTTAGTTACTTATCTGGATTCTGAGCAAGTGAATGGAATTTCTGCATACCCAAAATACATCATATTAAAATGAGAACTCTACTTCCTTGCTGTGAAAAATTTTCAGATAACAATTAAAATAGAATGAAAAGAGCGGAGGGCTGGCTGTACAACTCTGAATGGCTGCAGCTGTGTTGAGTGCCAAGTTGCTACACACACACACACACACACGCACGTACAGCTTCTGACGCAAATTCAGTCTTATTCTTTGAACATACTAGCTTTTGTCTACATAGAATCCAGCCTAATCATTTTTGTTTGGTAATTTAAAAATCCTTGGTTAAAAAAAATAAAGGAGCAGTATATATAGAAATACAAGATAGGGGTCCCCACAAACAGCAAATGTTAATGTCCAGAGAGCAAATGTTCACATTTTACTGTATTGGTAAGAGGAGAATTCTATTAAGACATTATTGTGTGGCTTTGTCAATTTTTCAACTTGAAAATAGGGTAAGCAGCCTTTGAAGAGTTGTTTTACTGCCTCTTGAGCTGAGAGGTGAACATGGTCATTTTTCAGGAAGCCTGCCCTGGTTCAGAGGAATCAGAAAGCTTGCCCACCCTTCTTGTTTCCCAGAGGACTGTCAATACAAGCTAATCAGACCTTAAAAATGGTTCTGCTGCTCAGGAGATCAGCAGGGCAGGAAGTCAGGGGTCTGCTATGGAGGGGGGCTGCTTGCAAAGGGTGGGCCTGCCTTATAGTAGCTGTGCTTCTCCATCCTGAGAACTTACTTCAGCTGGGTTCCATCTAATTTCTCATCATGGGGTGTTTGTGTGTGTGTGTGTGTGTGTGTGTGTGTGTGTGTGTGTGTGTTTCACCTTATTTCTAGATTAAGGACTAGGAATGATTTCCTTTCTTCCTCTTAACTTCCCCAGTGTTCCCCTGTCATGAGATACTTCTGTGTTGTCCTTAAAAACCAAAGCAGGGAATTCATTCTAAACTTTAGCCGCGGACATATTGATGAAGAACCTAGAGGACCTGAAGCTCGTGCTAAATTTTGCCTTTGGAACAAGGCTCAAAACAAAGCTTTTTGTAATAAGGGAAACTTGGCCCTTAGTTTGGAATTCCAAACCCACGACCAAACTTTAATTCTCTAATCCTGTATTTAGTCTCTGTTCTGTGTCAGGCACTGTGGTAGGCAATATGCAAGGAGCTTACTGTCCACCTTCTAGAAATTCACAGTCCAGAGTTGGAAGCAGGTGAATAAATGGCTTGCAGTCTGGTGTGGTAAGGACAGAGGCACACTGTACAGATAAAAGGCAAAGATGGCATGATTTGCTTTGTTACTGATGTTGGGGTGGGGGCGGTTCGGGGTCATTGAACACTAGGGACGTCGTGGCCTGGGTCCTGGCGAGTCGTACCTAATTTCCATGGAAACATGTCTTTCCATCTGCTTTGCATGGCTTCTTTCTTTTTTTTTATTATTATGTTAATCACCATACATTACATCATTAGTTTTTGATGTAGTGTTCCATGATTCACTGTTTGTGCATAACACCCAGTGCTCCATGCAGAAAGTGCCCTCTTTAATACCCATCACCAGGCTAATCCATCCTCCACCCCCCTCCCCTCTAGAACCCTCAGTTTGTTTTTCAGACTCTGTCGTCTCTCATGGTTCATCTCCCCCTCCGATTCCCCCCCTTCATTCTTCCCCTCCTGCTATCTTCTTCTTTTTTTTTTAACATATAATGTATTATTTGTTTCACAGGTACAGATCTGTGATTCAACAGTCTTGCACAATTCACAGCGCTCACCATAGCACATACCCTCCCCAATGTCTATCACCCAGCCGCCCCATCCCTCCCACCCCCCACCACTCCAGCAACCCTCAGTTTGTTTCCTGAGATTAAGAATTCATCATATCAGTGAGATCATATGATACATGTCTTTCTCTGATTGACTGTTTTTGCTCAGCATCATACCCTCCAGTTCCATCCACATCGTTGCAAATGGCAAGATTTTATTCCTTTTGATGGCTGCATAATATTCCATCTTTTATATACACCACATCTTCTTTATCCATTCATCTGTCGTTGGACATCTTGGCTCTTTCCACAGTTTGGCTATTGTGGACATTGCTGCTGTAAACATCGGGGTGCACAAACCTCTTTGGATCCCTACATTTGTATCTTTGGGGTAAATACTCAGTAGTGCAATTGCTGGATTGTAGGGTAGTTCTATTTTCAACTTTGTGAGGAACCTCCATACCAGCTTGCATTCCCACCAACAGTGTAGGAGGGGTGCCCTTTCTCTGCATCCCCGCCAACATCTATCGTTTCCTGACTTGTTCATTTTAGCCATTCTGACTGGTGTGAGGTGGTATCTCACTGAGGTTTTGATTTGGATTTCCCTGATGCCGAGCGATGTTGAGCACTTTTTCATGTGTCTGTTGGCCATTTGGATGTCTTCTTTGGAAAAATGTCTGTTCATGTCTTCTGCCCATTTCTTGATTGGATCATTTGTTCTTTGGGTGTTGAGTTTGATAAGTTCTTTATAGATTTTGGATACTAGCCCTTTATCTGATATGTCATTCGCAAATATCTTCTCCCATTCTGTCGGTTGTCTTTTGGTTTTGTTGACTGTTTCTTTTGCTGTGCAAAAGCTGTTTATCTTGATGAGGTCCCAATAGTTCATTTTGCCCTTGCTTCCCTTGCCTTTGGTGATGTTTCTAGGAAGAAGTTGCTGCGGCTGAGGTCGAAGAGGTTGCTTGCATGGCTTCTTTCAATTTGTCCCCCATTGCCACCCAAGAAATTGTGGGAATAAGCAGTTGGGGAGAGTTGCCTGGAAGAAATGGCACTCAAGCTGGGCTGGGCTAAACAAATATGCCAAGAATGGTTTCCAGCAAAGTTGATGGAAGAAGAGTGGAGAATCAGAGCAGGATGTTATTTTTATCCCATACCATTTAGATGCTGCCTAGATCCTTGACGCTACTTTCTACTTAGAGTAGGTAGAATTTCTAAGACATGACCCATATATTGGATCATTGGGTTCTCAGCAGTTTCATTTTGTTATACCTTATTACTCCTTGGAAATAAAGTTCAAAAATAATATAACATCCCTGCATAAATATATTTTAATTCAATATGCTAGCTTAACTGTAATGGGAAGAAAAATAAATGTGAAGCAAAATAGCATGTTTCTTGCTTGAGCAGGACTACAGGAAAGGTAAGTTATTAGATGTGTGTGTCTATGCATAAATCACCTGCATTGGGATACTCACAAATGCAGACTGTTAACAGGTGTGTGACATTGAAGCCTCAAATACTACTAGCATGGAATCAAGCCTCACCTCCCCCCAAAACCCACGGAATCTGAAAGTGCATTCATTCTTCATTTGCATGGTTGTTATACTACATTCTTGGAAATGCAGTGGATGTTAAAACTAGGCATATATGTATAACACAGCCAGGCTCTAGGATCAGGTAATTATACACAGGCTTTTCATCTGCGTGAATGTCCAGTGGGCCAGTCTTCACTGAGCAAGACTCCGTCTGCATTGCAGGACATCTACCATCCCCGGCCCCCGCCGACAATCATTATAACCACCAGAAAAAGGCTCCATAAATTTTTAAATTTCCCGCTAAGTTCCACTGCTTTAGATGATTAAGCTCAGAAGTCTGGGTCCTTCCTGTGGTTTGGGGAGTTGGAAACAGGCAGCCAACAATTAGTTTCAAGGTCTTGTTGCCATATTCGTGATAACATTTCTGGCCATCGTCTTTGTTGATGACTTCAGAGCAGCAATGTCATTTAACACCAGAAATTGGATGTCACTGACTGAGTCCTGCAGCAGGGAGGTTTAATTTCCATTAAAACATGAATTTCATCTGTCCCTGTGATGCTTTTCCTTGGTCATAGCTCAACCTGAACTGCTCATATTAAGGACCAACCAGATTATTCCATAATTTTCATTTTACCTTTTGGTTCTGTTTCCACAGCAGTTACCCAGAGTACTCTCCTTATGTTTCCTTATTACTTCGTGCAAATGCCCAGAGTTAATTTAGTGAAGGAAACTATGAGGGGTCCTTAACAAGGCTGAGACCATCACCTAGAAAATTCTTTTTGTTATGATTTTTTTTTCTTTTAGGGCAGTCACTACTTTGTTACTGAAGAGAGAGAGAGGGAGAGAGGATGAGAGAGAAAGAGAGAGAAAGAAAAGGAAAAAAAGGAAAGAACCAAACAGCTGGTGTTTAATGACTCCGTCAGACCCAATTATAAAACACCAACTACTTACTTTGATTTGTGTGTATCCATGCCATGGGTATACTTAAAAACAGTAGACTCTGCCAGAACTCATTTTGGCTTTGTTTACATTTATCTTTTAAACGTATAAGACTATTGATGGCACCTCACCAAGGTTATAACCCCTTTATAATCATTAATTTTTAATCTGAAAAAGAGTCTTGGGGGCAGCAAGACTCATCTATATTTACTTGGATGCTCGAATGAAAATATACAGGACTCATGTGTTGGCTAGAACAACCCAGGAAAGCCCCGTCAGAGGTTAGGAATGTGGTATCTTTCTGCTTCCAAAAGCAGCAGCCCTTTATTTAAGATGCTTTTCCAATTTAATTTCATTATCCTTGAACTTCCTGTTGAAGGTTTTGAAAAATCCATGTTGGGCGGCAGGGTGCGGGGGTAGGGGGAGGGTATGGGAGTTCAGCATGTTATGGTTGCCCCATTTCTGAGTTTGGGCCTTTATTTACTCTGTCTTTGGACCCACTTGGTTTATCATGTTAAATCACTATTGTTAGTTTTTAAGGGACACTGTTTCTACGTTTGCACAATTGTGTTCTCAGTTGTCTCTGGTTTCCTCAGATTTCTTATTAAAAAAAAAAAAGCTAGTATCAGAAGTCAGAGATTGGCTGCTTCATATCATATTTCTTTTTTTTTTAGATTCACAGATATTAATGATTCCTCGGGAAAACTGGACTTCAGCTGCCTTTCTCCTTCTAAAAATGACTATTGGGCCATGCTGGCTTACAACCGGTCCAAGCTCTGCAACATTCTCTTCTCCAACGAGCTCCATCGCCGCCTGTCCCCCCGTGGGGTCACGTCCAACGCCGTGCATCCTGGAAACATGATGTACTCCTCCATTCATCGCAACTGGTGGGTGTATACGCTGCTGTTTACCTTGGCCCGGCCTTTCACCAAGTCCATGGTAAGTGAACGGCTTCTATCATCGCAAACACCTTAATGCGCTCTTTATGGACACACGCATTTTCTTCAGCTTCTCGCCTCTTGTAGTGTTAAGTCTGGTCTTGACAGTCACATCCTCAGGCCCATCAGAGCCATCAGAAAGGGCTCTCGATTGCACTTCAATTGACTTATATTGCATCTGTTTCTCTAAAGGCGTCTTGGAGGGCTGGATAGTAGATACGGTTTTCAGGTGTTGTGTTAAGGATGGATAGGTCTTGATGGAAATGGTTCTCTTTATTTTGATGCAATTGTTTTATTGCTATTATGCAGAAAGCATAGTATTTGATAATGGTGTTTTGGGTCAGTAGGTGAAAAACATGGATTTGTGACCACTGAATTATCAGCAGAAGTGATTCCTTTGTTTTCACTGAGAATCTGTATTTGATGTTCTAAATTCTTCTTTAACAAGTGTAAACTTCACCTGGAGAAGCTTTCATTGGTTAGAAGTGCATTTTATTCTTTACCTCCCCAAGGTGAGTCCTTTTGGATGAAACACATTTCTGTGGTTAGATTTGGAAATATTTACAAAGATAAATAGAAAGTTTTTACATTTTTGATGGTTGTATAACAACCATATCTAGAGACTTCTTCCATGAAAACATTGTAATAGAAAGTCTTTTATATGAACAATGCACATTTTACACTATATTTGGTATGGTATTTTTCTAAACCAGAGGCCTTTAAAAACACCCAGAATTAGTGCATACTACTACTGTTCTAGTTAGATGACTTAACATCTAATTCTCAGAAAGGCCCAGACACATTTTGGCCTTTACGAGTATCATGAGGTGAACTCATTATCTTGGGGAAATGATCCCATGGCCTCTGAATACAGTTTGTCTCCGCCAGTGGCCATTCCCCCTTACTGTGGTGGGTAAGGCACTTAACCAGTCGTAGCCTGATTCCTCACAACTAGGATGGCAATAGGGGTTGGTATGGGGTTTGACCATAACAGATACGACATTTATAATAATGGGTATAGAATTTCTGTCATGATTTTAATCTGATTATCCAGCATGGTGGCCACCTGCCATATGTGGCTGTGGAGCCCTTGAAAAGTGGCTAATACAGGTAAGAAACTGAATTTTTAATTTGATTTTACTTTAATTAATTTAGATTTATAATTAATTTAGGCTTAAGTAGCTACACGTACCTAATGGCTTCCAGATTGGAAAGCACAGTTAAGTAACGTCCCCAACATGGTGTCTGCGTGTAGTAGGTGTGCAGTATTCCTGTTATGATGGTGGTTATTTTTGTTGTTACATTACCTTTGGAGGGGTCTATTGTCCAAAATGTCATTGTTTGTGTTGCATACAAGGGTCACAGAACTAAAGGAGTATGTAAACCGGGAGTCTGGTGGTGGTGTTTGGGTTGACCTCTGTCTCTGTCCCCAGAGGTCCAAAGAGAAAGTTATCAGCAAAGTAGGAAGGGTGTCCAGATGAAGAGAGCCTGGTCTTGAGCATGTATTTCTGGTTCTCCAGGAAGCCATAGTAGAATGAACTTTCACTGTTCTTGTCCCCAGGTAACTGAAAAACAGCATCTTTTATCTGCCACAAATGTACTTTTTTAGATAAGCATATAAAATATGAAGACTATGAAATGTGTATATAGGTTTAGATTTTTAGGAAATTTCTCTCTAATAGTATCTTTATATACTTAGGTATTTGGGGGTATTCTTAGCCATCAGGGTTGTATGACTCGGTTTATAAAGAGGCGGAATGGAAACTCACTTGTCAAACTCATAGCCAATCACTCCTTGTTCATAAACATTTCGGACTCTGCGCATGTGGGAGAGGCATCAGCATGACTGTAAACTGCGGGGTGGTTCCGTGTCACTGGCGGGGCCGACTGGGCTTACTGGAAAAGTCGCCCTGGTGTTTTATCCTTCTCTACGTGGCTTGTCACTGTTTCTGTCAGGATAAGACATTTGTTTCGTGGACGCAGAGTACACTCCTACCTTTTTAACACCAATTATTTTTTGAACATAAGCCATATAGTTGCATCCCATTCTCACCCCCTGTGAAAGTTGGGATCCTAAATGCTCCTGAAGAAGCTTCGCCTGGATGCAGTACCCTCATCACCACTTGGCTGTCTGTGCTTCACAGCTCTGTCCGTGTTGCACAGCTGAAGTGTTTCCCTTGACACAAGTGTAGCTGGAGTACACGTCCCATTGCACAAGGTCAAGGAATCAAGAAGCACAGCCCAGCCTTGTGCTTGGAGGCTCTGCCTTCGCTTCTCCACCCGAGCTGGCTCCCTGAAGTATTAAACAATGGTATTCTAATATCAATGTCCCTGTTTTATTTGCTGTGACTTGCTGTGACTACGGTGATTTTAGTTACAGTAATTAGGTCACCCTTCATGGAGTCAGGCTATTTTAAGTGCCTCTTTAAGGAATATTGTTGCAGATCAGTAATTTTACAATTGGATGTTCTTGTGCAACTTTATTAAATGTAATCTGTCTTTTAAATGTTGCCCTTTTACAGTTATACATTTCTAATTGTTGCTGTAAATGCATTATCACTTTGAAATTAATTAATTTTTCCATTTTGGCTGCCTGCAGTATAATAATCACTAATGAGAAACTCATAGGGATTAATCTTAGCACAGCGACCCTACTGGTAAATCTGTGTCTTTGGCACCTTGTCCCCTTGAGGTCTGGAGGTCAGGACAGGTGGATGAGGAGTCTGTGAGGGAAACGTTTGTCTCCCTTCCCCCCAATTTTTGTAAAAATAAAAATAATACAAATGGGAATAGGATTTTTCTTAAGAAAGCTTTACGCGCAGTGCGGGGCTTGAACTTACAACCCAGAGATCAAGAGTCACACTCTGTACCTACTAAGCCAGCCAGATGCCCTGGGAATAAGGATGTTTTTAAATATTGTTTAAAAAATATACAGGATTCTTTCACTGGTTTTGAAACATCTTAAAGGAAACTAAAGTTTGATGGGAGCTTTCTGATAATGAAGTCACATCCATCATGTGTATTTTCCTGTCTTTTTAGCTTTCTTTTATGCCGTTAAAATACTCTAAAGTTGTATTTTGTGTATGTATGTATGAATATACATTGTAAGTATATATAAAGTATTCATATATAGGTTTTTCTCCAAGTGACATAATTCACAAAACCAGACCCAGTGATAGGAAAGATGTTCAGGGGTAATTTTGGCTGTTGTTGATTGTTGCCATGTGTCAACACATGGCAACACTTTAGATTCCTGCCGTACTCCCAGGTAGGATGCGACTTGGCACTTTAGGCCAGACATCGTGATGCTTTATGCCTCGGTATGTGTGTCTTCACTGATTCCTCACAATGGCTCTGCAATGTTAGAATCATTACCCTCCTTTTGTAGTTAAAAAGCACAAAGGACTTGCCCAGATCACAGACCCTTCAGGGGCTCCTCCCGAGTGCACTTGTTCAGATCACCACAGCACCTCTGTCCTGTAGATCTCTCCTTGTGCACTTAGGTTTTCTCTTTAAAATGTTTGGAAGTACCTTCCTGAACTTAACCCTCCGTCTTCTTACCCCGCCCCCCCCCCCCCAATAAACTTTCATTTCTGGTAAACAACATCTGAGCTCGCGTTCCTAGGTCCAAGCCAGCCCTTTGCAGATCGGTATGTAAGTTTGAAGCTGAACGCTGTCACGTGGCCTCTTAGGGTGTTTTGTGCAACCAAATATTTATGTTGGCAGGTAACAGTAGAAAGAATATCATGTGTTAGGGTAGCAAGAGCTTAGCAGATGTTTTAGGGAACTGCGTTTTCAAATCATTTTACATTAAAAAATGACTTGAGTTTGTAGAACTTCTGGAATGATTGAGTTATGTTTCCTGTGGCCGTGTAAAGCCAGTCATTGTGCTGAGTTTTAACAGATGTGCATCTGCCCCGCTAATGGACGGACCTGCAACGCTGGTTCTGTTGCAAAGTTATAAATTATAACTAGAAAAAGCACAAGATGTCATTCTTCTAACCTTCGCGAAAGCCAAGCTGAGTAATTCTGCCCTTGAATAACCCGCTGCAGGGTGATTTATAGTTGTATAATTTAAAACATAATGAAGGAGATAATAGATGTTGATTTGTTCTTTAAATTAGTGTTTTAGAAAAATACTTCCCCCCATCCCCTTTAAATACCTGCAGCTGACTACACTCTAGATACGATCAAGGACAAAACCCTGTTCAAATCTTTACTGGTGAGTTGGAGTAAAATGCGGGGGCCTTTTTCTGTGTTGGGAGGAGGAGATACAGTTTTCACTGTAGAAATTTTAGCATATTCTTCACTAATCTAAATATTTTGGGGCTCCCGAGTAAGGGTTGAATTCTCTTGCTGCCTTGCTCTTGCCAGTCCAGATATGTCACAAAACTAGAATCCTGAGACCCCACTGTGGTCAGGCCACACTTGACCTTTCCTGCAGAACCCCACAGAAGGACCTAGAGGCCGTGCTCTTTCTGCTGAGGTCACATCCCTGTGACCTCACACATTCTTCTTACTTTCCAGGATTATCATTGGCATTGGTTTTATTAGTCACCTCTGATTCTGTCCAGATCTTTAAAATTAAGTGTTTGCTCAATTCAGAGTCCAAGGGATATGGTAGAGTGAAAAAGAACAAAGGATTTAGAATCATTAGGCCTGTATTCAAAACTCAACGTTTCCACCTGTTTTCATTATGTAAGTTTGAAATGCTTCAGTCTCTTTGAGGCTTATATTCTACATCAGTTTTCATGTTTTGGGCTGTGGGTTATGAACACCCAGTTAAAAGTGTTTGGAATAATAGTGGTTTGTTTTTCCCATATATCTAGAAATCCAGAGGCTGCCAGGGGTATGTTTGGCTACTGCATAGGCAGCTCCTTTGTGATTGTCTTGGCTTTTCCCTCATGCTTATAAGATGGCTGCAGTAGCTCCAACCATTGCATCTTCTGTGATGAGGTCTGAAGTTAGAATGGGAGGGACGGGACCCCCTCTTTGCACATC